CTAAGTACTGGATATTTACCTCGCCCACTGCTCCGGGCGCTTCGTCTTGAGGCGCTTGAACTCCAGCCGCTTGAGCACCAGCCGCTTGAATACCCGCCGCTTGAGCACCAACCGCTTGAGCACCAGCCGCTTGAACAACAGCCGCTTGAGCACCAGCCACTTGAACACCAGCCGCTTGAGCATCAGCTTGGTCGTCGTGCTGGTCGTAGTGCTGGTCGTGGTCTTGTTGCGCCGCCGGAGGTGGAGGCAGGTTAGCCATACTGTTACGAAGAGTTAGCTAGAAGCTGGTGGCGGTGTTTCCCGATATGAGCAAAAACTGAGACGTCTTCCTCCGTTCAACTGATTGAGTGTTTCTTGATCTGCCGGTTACGTGAATTTATACTCTTGGTGTGCAGGGGATGCCGGATAATGCTTATACACGAGATCCCGTTGAAATTTAGGGTATTAGATAATCATTTGCGGTGAGCTAATTAATTATGCAGTGAAAATAGCGTCAAATTCAACCAGGACTAAGGATTAATTCCATATGCTTTTGACGACCGCCTTCCGAAATATGCACGAAGTAGACGTGGGAAAGCTGATAATTAGTTTTGGCGCTATTGCATTAGGATCGACTTTTCTATCATTAATTCATTCTTATTTCATTTTAAATACATGTAAATAGTTTTTGAAAAACCTTTTTAGGAATTTACTATTAAAGTTATTATTATTATTATTATTATTATTATTATTATTATTATTATTATTATTATTATTATTATTATTATTATTATTATTATCCTGGGTGCTCATTTGTAGATGCATTTTCTGTTAGCTGGCACCTTTATAAGTTTTATGCTTTTCCACCTTTTTGTTTGATCCCGCGTTGCCTCCAGAAGATAAGAAAAGACCAGGCAGAAGGAATTTTAATTGTACCACTGTGGACAGGGCAGGCATGGTTCCCTCACCTACTTCAACAACTTTACAAACACTCTTGGATTGTGGGCCCAGACAAGCAATTGATTCAGCACATAGCACACCAGGAACCCCATCCACTCTGCAAAAATCTAAAACTGATGTCTGTCCTGTCTCATGAATTCCCTCTCGAAATACAACCTTTCAGGCGACGTTGAGGACATTATCATGGCTTCCTGGCGAAGTGGAACTCAAAGACCTACATTCAGAAATGGATCAACTTTTGTTGTGAAAAAATTAATTGTTATTCCCCACAAATTAAGGAAGCACTAGACTTCTTGGCCGAACTATATTCAAAGGGCCTTAGCTACTCAACATTGAACACTGCGCGATCAGCTCTGTCATCAATACTACAAATTGGAAACTGTGAATACTTTGGATCACACCCACTTACAGTGTGGTTTATGAAAGGTGTTTTTGAAAAAAGGACATCTCAACCTAGATATAACAGGATATGGGATGCTTCACTAGTCCTAGACTACCTGACCACTTTAAACCCAGTTGAAAAATTGTCTTTGAAGGACTTGACCCTGAAATTGCTTATGCTACTTCTTGCAACAGGGAAAAGAGGACAATCGATACATCTGCTAAATGTTACAACTATGCAACTAGATGAAAAATCCTGTTCATTTCAATTGAATAGTCATACAAAGACAAGCAAACCAGGACAACCTACAGAAGTCATCAATGTTAGAGAATTTGAGCATGATCGTGGTGTATGTCCTGTGCACACCCTACGAGAATACATCAAACGCACTGAGACTATTAGAGGCAATCAAGAACAGTTGTTTATAAGTTTTGTTAAGCCTCATAAATCTGTGTCAAGGGATACAATCTCCCGCTGGACCAAGACGGTGTTGCAGAATTCTGGTATTTACACTACAATGTTTACTAGTCACAGCACAAGAGCAGCAAGTGCCTCCAAAGCAAAGCGAAGAGATGTGCCTATTGATATTATCTTATCCCATGTTGGCTGGAGCACTACAAGTACTTTTTCAACTTTTTATGAGCCAATTAGTCATAATAATGACATTATGGCCTCTGATGTGCTAACCCGTTAGACTTTATAACAGAATGCTCTATTGTTTCAGCTTATGTTACAGTTCATAGAAGTTTATAGTCACAATGGGTTTTAGTTGTAGGATAAAACATCCTCACAAATTTCCAAGGATGGTTGGATTTTTAAACATTGCTATATTCCAATAAAAAATAGAGGTGACTGAAACAGTTTTCCTTTCCAGTCTCTGGTGGGTGTTTCCAAGGCTTTAAAGTCTCATGGGATCTCCCACTCTGGTAGTCATGTGATAGAATTGGAAAATTAAACGAGACTCACCTGTAAGTTGAAGTTTGATTGAGATTCTATCACATGACGGACAGAGTTAGGAGATCACATGCCCACCCTAATAACTATCTCACCCAATAGAGCTTAAATGTATTTCTCAAATTGTTGGTTTGCATTGGGGCTATTCCCTTCTCACACCCACATCTTTAAAGAATGGTCTTGCGCATGCGCTGTGCTATCTCATGTGATCTCCTAACTCTGTTTAATTTTCCAAATATTTTACATTAATTCATTATCAAATAGCCGACTTGCGAAATTAGTAGTCACGCACAAAAACATCAAGACTAGACGCCGCGTAAAGCTCAGTCATTTGTAAAAACACAATCATGAATAGTTTTTCACAATCGACTGAGGCCTGCGCTATACGCAGAACTTCACATGTGCCGAATACAATTCACGAATTTATAAATGCATGTGAGATGCGGCGTATAAATCAATTAGATTCGACAGTATTGGATTAAATACGAATCAGTCCAAGAAAATATGAAACAGTCGAAGATACGGCAATGGTGCGGCAGATGATTTATACGCCGTATACATGCATTATTTTTTAAATAACATGAATTAAGAGTTATCCACAAATCTTTTTTTGTGTGTGTGAATGGTGTTTTTGCGGTTTGAAGAGGGATAAATAGATGGTGAAAGGAAGAAAAGGAGTGAAAGGAAATATCAAAAAAAAAAAGAACTTAATAACTGTAGAAGTAAAAGGGGGGCTATAAAGAAAAAAATGGATAGGTGACTGAATAAAAACTAAATATGTAAATAAATAAAAAAAGAAGATAAACTAGGAGCATTAACTGATCGAATAAATAAAAGCATAAAGAAAACAAAGAAACAAAAAGGTAAATAGATAAGTAAAAATAGATAAATGGATGAAGCGAGAATGTATGACGACACTGAAAGAAGAAGGGGAGGTAAATGATTGTGATGAAATAGAAGGTGGCATGGATATGGGCAGGACGTCTATGGGCAGGGGAAAGGGAAATGATTCTTGATCATGAGTGGATGTTGTAAGTGTGTGGGGGTGATAGTTAGAGGGGAGTGGAATAAATGAGTGAAAGAGATGGAGAACAATCATTGAGAAGTGAAGGATAATAATGAACATGAAATTGAAAGTGTGTATGGGAATAGTCAGATGGGGAGAAGAATAAAGAGACGAAAGGATGGAGAAACGCGAGTAGAAGAAAATGAGTAAAAGAGTTAGCATCGGTAGTTGAGGGATAAAAATAGAAAAATGAAAAAATGAGTTTTATTGCAAGTCTTTTAACCGAGAGGTGATTGGGAATTAAATTCGTCAATTAAAATTCGACGTCTAAATCAAATGCCGTATTTAATCATTTAAGTCGTCTAAAATAGGAGTTGTATTCGTCACATGTGAAGTTCGGCGTATAGCGCGGGCCTGAGCTTTACGCACGGCGACTGATCTTATTTCTTTTGTGTTTAACTACTGAGGCGAAATTCGCATATCGGCTATTCTATGCTAAAACATATTTTACTAAAAAAAATCAAAATAAATGTCATTTTTATGATATAAAGATTCATTCACAGCAAAGATTTTCCATAATGTTTACATGAGAATTATATTTACTTTTAACGAAAAAGATACCTGCTTTGATATTCTTCCAAATGATTTTAACGTATTGGTCTCGGTCAGGCCTAGTCTGCTCGTGGTGAAAACCAACAGCATGAAGAATTTCGTGGACTATTATTGCATGACGAAGGCAACCTGTAGCCAAATTAAGTTTCTGTTTAGGCTTTTGCCGACCAAGATAGGACCAACAGCTGTGGAACATAAAAAACATCAATTTCGAAACCGCTGCTTTTAATATTTGACAATTTTGTTAACAATTTTTCCCGAAAAAATAAGGAAATTTAATTACTAATTCCAAGATTGACGTGGTATTACTTTGTAATACTATGATCGGCGAAGAAGTAAGGAAACAGTTTTGATACTATGTCCAGTTTTCTAACCAAGGAAGCGTAAACAACGCCAAATAAATGCATAACAATCTCATGGCGTGTTGTACACCTAGGCTTCATAATGATGCCTAATCAAACAATAGTTTTCAAATACGTTACTTTGTGCTCTGTTGTGTCATTAATTCAACATTTGCTAGTAGAGTACAAACACTAAAACTGTGCAACATAAATACCACTAAATACTGCTAAATTATGCTAATTCTATTGTTTTCTATTGTTTAATGAGCACTATTTTGTAGTAAATAGTGGAAAGTGTTGCACACATTTAATGTTTGTACTCTACTATTTCATATACTTGTTTTGTAACAGTTATGTAAAAAGATAAATTTAACACCGTAAAAAAGTATGTGGAAAAACTTACTGACGTTTCGGATGTTAATCCTTCCTCCGACGAAGGATTAACATCCGAAACGTCAGTAAGTTTTTCCACATACTTTTTTACGGTGTTAAATTTATCTTTTTACATAACTGTTTCTTTAKAAACACCGACGCAGCTCACACTAGTTTACCGCTAGTTCCCACCATTTTACTTGTTTTTTGTAGTCTCTTAGGCCCGCGCTATACGCCGAACTTCACATGTACCGAATACAACTCCTATTTTAGTCGACTTAAATGATTAAATACGGCATATTTGATTAATTTTAAGTGACGAATTTAATTCCCAATCCCCTCTCGGTCAAAAAAACTCACAATAAAACTCACTTTTTCATGTTTCTATTTAAGCATAACTTTCACGTATTGTATGTAAATAGCCTAGCACTTAGCCTTTTGTTCTATACCATGTATAWATATMTAGATTATRGGAATGYTTATCATTAAATACTGTCTGATGAGTGCGTAGCACGAAACTCGGAGTTACAGCAAAATCTTGCCTCTTTGATATCATATATATAACTAGCTCGACACTTTATGTGTATTGAGCACTCTTTAATGGGATCAGCTACTTCCTCATACGATTAGATTAACTTTTAAATATAATTTAATTTCTATACATAGTAAGTAGTACCTCTTGGACGCCTTTGTAAATAGATTAACTTTTATAATACATAATTTCGCAATTAGAAATATTTTCAATTTTTATACATGTAATTCTGCTTTTTTTCTTTTGCATTTTTATATTCTTGTAACATAGGATATGTAGTTTTATCTTATGAAAAAAAGACCTATTATTATTATTATCTATTATTATTACAACGCGTTCTCACATCCGTAGATTTGTGAAAGATAAAAACAAATTCCCTTTCAAGAGTTTTGAGGCTGTCTTTGAGTGATAAGACAAAAGGAAAGGAGGATTATATTTCTACTATGTTGTTGTATTGGAAATCACGATGGCAAGAAAGGGGTGTTTTTCTCCCACTCGGTATATATGACCTTAAAGAAATTCGTACCTTGATCCAAATGTAACGAAACTTGGCATGAAGATAGTTTCAAGGTAGACAAGTTTTAATAGCACTTCTCTTTTGATTTTGAGTGACAAGATGACGTCATAATCGATGTCCAAATATGGCAATAAATTTTAGAATTTCTGTATTTGTCAATAAATTATAGAATTTCTGTATTTGTCGATAACTTTTGAACTATTCAACGGATTCGAGTGGGATTTTCATGCATCGTTTTGATCGTACAAAACATCTAGATAACATTTGAAATCCAATTCAAAGTTTTAGAGTTTATTGACATATTTAGGCATCGCGTATGACGTCATCATGTCAATCAAAATGAAAATAGACTTGCTATTATAACTTAACTACCTCGTGACTATCTTCTTGCCTAGTTTCGTTACATTTGAATCATTGTACGGATTTCTGTAAACCAAATGGGAGAAAATACACCCGTTTCTTGCCATCGTGAATACTGCGAAAATATGGGAAAAGCAACTGTTTATGTGAACTTTTTTGTCGAGAAGTGTGGACATTTTGAAACCAAGACCATGCCAGCAGCACTGCATTGAGAGAGACTTATAATGCTGTTGAAGTAAAATAATAAACTGGATAATTAAGGCGAGTTTGTCATAGGATGCCTCAGATGTAAAACAACGAATTTAGTTCAAGAATCAAGGTAAAATACGTAAAATATTCTTAATACAATTTGCTGTGATGTGAAGCTCGAGAAGTCCGGGTTCAAACGCCACATTTAATCTGATTGCTTTTACTGTAGAATATTTTTTCAGATGATCGATTTGCAGTTTCAATCAATTGACAGATTCAATAAGTTAATAAGTTCGTCCAACTGAACAAACTCTACCAAAGTCCGCAATAAGAACAAATTCTCATGAACATACTCTTTTTTTTTGCATAACCTTTTTGAGCTAAACATATAATAAATTTGTTCATGATATTATTTTGTTTGCATGTCAACATTTTTACATTCCTTGAAACAGCATATGCTCTATACTAATAAAATATTCTTAAGACTATCTTTGAAATAGTTGTTATACTAGATATAATCGTTCTCTTCCTTTTGCCACTGGAGCTCCGCTATTAGGTTTTACCTAATTTAATTATATATTTTGTACATTTCGTAAATTCTTGATGCAGAAATGAAAGAGGCCACTAAACACTAAACTGTAATGTCAACCTCGACCTTAAAGTTGGGACGAAACTTGGAGTTATATTATTCGCTGTTATGACCAATAATCTTTTGCGCGATTGGCATTTAAGGATTAAATTTGTAGATGATACTACCACGGCATTGGAAATCTTACCTAGAAATGGTATTAGCCTACTAAACGTAGCTGTTAACGATATTCATAATTTTTCTATAGACCATAATATGAAATTAAATCCAAAAAAATGTAAAGAAATGTTAATCAACTTCTTGCATAATTATAATTTTAATATAAGACCAATTGCCCTAGGTAACAACACAGTCGAACGTGTAACAACTTATAAATTGCTGGGTATTGTCATTAGCAATGACCTAAAATGGATAGAGAATATTGATTATATTTCAAAGAAGGCATCAAAGCGACTGCACTCATTAAGGATTCTTAAAAAAGTAGGCGTCAATGGAGAGGGAATTCTTAAAGTTTATACTACTACAATAAGACCAATTTTAGAGTACGGAGTTCAAGTCTGGCAAGACATACCTGGATTTCTTTCTGATAAGCTAGAATCAATCCAGAAGAGGGCTTTACATAATATTTATCCATATCATAATTATTTAGATGCCCTCAATTTTACTAACATATGCAACCTTAAAGAAAGGAGATTCCAACTATGTTGTAAATATATTCAGAAGATGTCTCTCAGCGATCACCCCATAAATTTTCTTTTACCAAAATCTTCAACTTGTGAACATAACTATAATCTGCGGTCCGGCAGTAAAACTAGAACCATAATGTATGCCGATAAGACCGGTTGCCGGACCCAGCGTTCTAGCTCATTTATCACCTTTAATAGCAGATACATGTAAATAAATAGATAAGTATAATG